TGAAATGTTGGCAGCAAAATTGGTTTAGTGGCTTGGTTGTTTGAAACTGTTGATAACTGTCACAAAAAAGATTGTCGTTTTGAATGTTTATTAAATTCTTGGCACTTATCTTGTTAAACCCATGAGTGGTATTATGCTAAATGCTTGGTTACGGCTAGGCTAGTATGCTATCATGCTATCATGCTACATGCAGAATTAGCATAAATTCAGTACCCTCATTTTTTGTCATTTTGGATCTAAATTGCAAAGTGTGACATTGTCTGACATGAAAAAGTTAAGTTATATATATGTTGCTTAATTTCAGTGATACCTCAATCAAGACTACAAATCTCTTTTGGTAGTTTTTTTTCCTTCTAACTGAAGACAATAAAGAAAACAAGAAAATTAATTATAAAAGGTAAGTTATGTGTTTTATAATTATAAAACACATAACTTACTTTTGAGTATATGAAACTGGAAAAATGTGGGGAGTACAAATAAATGCAAAGGTCCTTTTAGTTACATGTCTTGCAACTTGACTGCTGTGTTGAAATGCTTCTGTGTGGTTATTTTGAAGCATTATCTAAAGTAGACTTCATTTTAGAGCTCACCTGGACATTAACAATATTGTGTAAAAAATCAGGTGTCAAATTTTTTTAAAAATGGTTAAAAACTTTCCTGACTTTGCCTGAAAAGGTTCGAGTCCCAAATTTCTCTCATTTCCAGTTTGTTTTTTGACGTGCTAATGATTTTAGCAAAATGCTAAATTTAACACAATTCTTTTTTAAATCTCATAATATTTTAAATGTGGTAGGTTTTTCTTTACTAAATTGTATCTTCGTTTGTTTGTCCTCACTACAACATTCAACCCAAAGCCTAATATTACTGTGTCCAGTGAACATTAAGGATGAAGATCTGCTAAACAAGTGCATCTGTGAGCATCTGAGGATGCTCTCAGTAGATTTCAGCCTTAATAAATAAATGTCATTTAGCCTGATATTAGTGATTTTATTGCCACAGGCATCACTGCATCTGTCCCACTTTCCACGTGTTGGATCAACAAAATATCGTCTACGGTAGAGGAAACACTTTTACTGAGATAAAATTTACACTTTTATTTCACTCTAAAAATTATTTTTGCTGTTTTTTTTTGCAGTTTTCTCAACATGTGAATATGTTGGTATTAACTACAAAATTAGAATAAAATTTGAGTAGAAACTGAAGAGAGATGCTCTCAGGGAAAACTTCAGTTTCAAATGATCCAGATGACACACTCTGCTGTGCATTTGTGTCTTAAAAGCACACACAAACACATTTTATTTAACCATAGTTTATCGCACAGACATGCCCCTGAATAATTTTTTTATGTTCATGAAATTAAGTTCCTACAGTCTTACTAATAACCAGCTGATAGCAATGCCTGAGGGGAAAAAGGATCACATTTCGTGTTCGTTTCTTTATTTTAATTTTAATTTTCAGATTGTCGATTTTGCTCTTAAATGTAGTATTTTGATTTTTTTGAAGCCACGACTATTTTGACAAAGCTCGATGAAAAATACAGAATAAGTTAAGTGTGTTGGATTTTTCACAAGCACACAATGTCAGGCCAAATACCGGCAGCTCTCAGCAAACTGTGACAACTGTGTTTTATCCTTCAGGGGTTTGTATTGTGTGTGCATTTATTCCCCTCCGAAAAATTTGGGTGCACTCCTGATCACTCATACCATGACAGGATGCTTCAGCTGATCTGTACTCATATTTATCCACAGCACACACTGCAATCTCACACCATCTGTAAAAAAAAAAAAAGTAACTGCAAATGACGGGCGTTTATATCTGAAGGTCTGGAGAGGACGATTGTTTTAAAATATTCTATTTAGTATTAGGTCTTTAAAAAAATGTTAATGTGATTAAAAAGAAGAGGAAATGATTTTGTTTTTCACATCCACGTTCTCCTCTAGCTTCCTTTCTGACTGAGAAGAGCTTTACTTTCTCTTCAGCTGAAACTAGAAGGCGAAAGATCAGCTCTTCTTTCAACTAAAACTAGAAGTTGTAACTTAAGTGTTATCTGTTTTTTCTAATATGCAAAAATTACTTGTGAAACTAACAACAATAAGTAAAAACTGCCTAAAATACCAATAAATACTTGTTTTTCCCCTTTCCTTTGGTAAAAGCTTGAGAAAAGCTTTTTGCAGAATATTTCTGGTATAAGAGCAGAATTCAATACAAGTGAGGAACCCAGTTTATTCACATAACTGAGCTCCAATGCAGAAACCTCCAATTCTGTGTTTGGGGTTTAGTGTTGTTTTAAATGATCAAATAAACCACTACAGTGGCTCTGGGAAGGCAAGTATTCCTAACCCTGTGTTACCAGGATATGTGATTTCTGTCAATGAAAAATTGTTCCAAATCTTGGCAATCAAGGAACCAAAAATAACAAACTGACCCACAATAAAAATAAATAAATAAATAAATACATGTTCTATTTCTCTGCAAAAGCTGGGATTAAGGGTTAGGGTTTGTCCCATCAGTGGCTGATGATATGGACCTCACAAGATGATTGTAACCATTAACTAGAGACTTAGCATAGAGAATATTAATCATGTGACTGATTCATAAATTTTATGTTCAAAGTATATTATGTATATAATGTTCAAATAGTTATTGGTTACATCATTTTCTTTAAAAATGTCTATAACACCAGAAAGAATTTCTTATTGGACTTTACAACCGTAGTTTTGAGAATGGGCCTTTAACTCTTTCTTGATTTTTAGCTTTTAATCTTAAAATGACATGCAGGTTGAAAAATCAATGCATAATAGTACACATTTGATTTTTTTTTTTAAAGTAGCATTATTAAGACTTTGGTCAAGTCTTAGTTAGGGTACATTAGGAGAAATCTCTTGCACAGATAAAAGTAATGCCTTATTTTCAAATAGACATTAAAAAGTCCTCAGTGAGCTGTACCTGACCTGCAGCTTTATTTCCATCACAATATCGAGCCTTCACTCAATGCAAATTATACACTGGCGCCCCCTAAATGAGCCCGAACATAGTACAGACAGCATCAGCAGCACTGACAGCAGCGGCAGAGATCCGCTGTGAGAGACTGCCCGGGATACCCAGGCGCTCTGACCGCATGGAGAACCGGCTGGCACGGCGGGAGGCAGCGGGAGCGCGCGGTGTCCCCGGTAATGCCTGCTCAGCTCAGAGTCCAAATTCAAAAAAATTAAAAGTGCTGCGAGTTTAAACCACAGAGAAAGTTGGTTTGTTGCACTGAGCAGTAGCACCATGCATAAAGGAGGCTTGGAGCCAAATTTGGAGGGGTTGAAGTGGTGCTTTATTGGGTTAACTTAACAACAACAACAACAATAATAATGATGATAATAATAACGATAATAATGATGATGATAATATTCACAGTAATAATAATAATGATGATGATGGAAGAACATTTTTATTCTCTCGACAACTCGAAGCTGCTGTTGGCTTCTCTCCTCTCCCCTCACAATAGAAATCTTCAACTTAAATGTCACTTTATTCCGACCAATACAACCACCAACTATTGTGATCTGAATTACAATAATAATGGGCGGGGGTGAGAGGGGTCTTTATCCCTCCGCACATCCATAAATCGCACGAAATGACAGTCGGCCAGTGAAGAGTTAAAGGGAGGAGACGGAGAGTGACACGCCTCATTGGGTAGATTATGTGCCGCAAACAAAAAGTGTGTGTCGGTGTGCCAGTCAGCCAGAGCATCGGGCCCCATCTGCACGCCTCTCTCTCCCTCTCTCTCTCTCTGTCTGCTTTTATCCGTGCAGCTCTCTCTCCCTGCCCCGCTCCTTCACTGCCAGTGTCGGCGGCAGCAGCAGCACTGTCACTTTCAGCACACCGGGGAGGAAATGTACTGATACTACGGAGCAGCCCGGGAGCGCATCACCATCTCCATCATCACCTCCATCACCGTCACCGCATCCCCCCTCTCGTCTTTTCGGGGCTTTTTTTTTCCCGGATTGATTCGCAGCATCGCTCTCAAATCGTTTGTGGATTATTGTTCCCTCCTCATCGACGGAAAGGTAGGTCTGTGACGTGAAAGCTGTGTGTGGTTCGGATAGTTTTGGAGCAGGAAAAAGGGGGTGGGTTGGGTGGTGGGTTCGCTTTGCGCGGCACACGTCCTGCAGAATAAACAGCAGGAAAAGAAATAGGGGGGAAAATAAAGCAAACGCAGGTGTTTCCTCGCTGTCGCAGTTCAATCACAGCGCTGATTCGGGACAGTTTTAGCGGATGGGTGAAACACCCCCCAGTTTCAGCTCACCCCCACCTGCAGCGGGTTTGGAGGGAGAGGGTGGCTGCTTTCCTCCAGTTTGGATGTACAAACACGCCGCTCGGTGTCTCTTTTTATTGATTCGAGCCTGGCCTTGACTCATATCAGTCACCCGATAATTTGTGAGGCTTTCATCCACCTCAAGTGACTATTTGGGTTAATTTGAACATAAAGAGGTTCTGTTTAGTGCCGGAAACAAATTTTTTAGCTTCGCATCGCAGCGCCGGGAGCCGCTTTGGAAAGGCTGTGTGCGCAAAATGTTCCAGAGAATCTTCCTGCTGCTGCTAAACGTTTACGAAGTTACAAAATCCTATAAATCAGCCGACTTCAGTGGCAGCTGTTCTTTATTTAATCAAATTTCCACACTTCTTTTAAAACAATAATACTAATGAAAAAAACAGATAACAGTAGAAGCCAAACCAGAGGAAAGCATCGCTTTTTCTCTTTTTGCAGCCACAAAACAACTGCGGATACCGGGGACAAACAGACGGTAGCTCATCTGTTCCCACCGCCAATCACCGGCACGAGAGCAGTTATCAATATCCGCCAGTTTATTTCTGAACTGGATCACATTTACGCGCAAAAGCCACGTTTCTCCATGCGCGCAAGAGTGCACAGACCTTTATCCCAGCTGCGGTGCTTTTAAATGATACTTTAATGATTTTCTAATTAATGGCTTCATTTTTTGCACGAACTGTGCCAAGACCGCGCCTCGTGGACTATAATAATAATAATAATTATTATTATTATTATTAATTATTATTATTATTGTTATCATATAATAATAGCTGCACTCTAAACTGTTAATTATAGTTACTTTGTCATAGGCCCAAAGTACAACAGTAAATCATTTTTATTCATATTTTGCAGTTGCTAAAATAAACCAAACGGTGATCAGAGAACATTATATACAACATATCTTTTCAACAATTTAGGAATGGCTTCTTAAGGAAAAGCTATTTGTCTGAATTTATAGTTTGCATTTATTTATTTATTTCTGCCGTCCTTTGTGCCTAATTTACGGCCGAACAAATGTGCATCAGGTGCAGGCTTCCGCGCACAGATTCTGCAGTATTTAAACGCCAGAGGAGGAAGAGGGGAGGAGAGGAGGGAGTGAAAGAGACGCAGCCGTCTAAACACACACATTCAGAGGTTAGAAAGGGAGAAAAGAAATAATTAACTGGTCGTGCTGCTTTAATTACAGTCTCAGAGGGGAAAGTGGCGGATTATGGTAATGAGGCGACATACGCTGCCGCTTGTAGAAAGGAGAGAAAGGTTGGCTGACATGAAATCACTGACTTTGACAGTCCACTTGAAACCCATTGGACATGCTCTCTCCGTTGGACGTGCTCGGACCTCACCAGCTCCCACTGAGGGTGCCGTCGTCTTATTATCCTTCTCTTTTTTCTCCTTTGTAACAAAAACAGTCTTCAGACAATGTGAGAAATCCAACAAAACCAGACACGATATTAAATGGATAAAGATAATATTTATAGAGAAATCAATGATCACACAAGCGTGAAGCACAGTCAGCTCACTGGAAAAGTAAGGACGTTAAAAGTGACTCTGGGAACACTGTAGGAAATACAGTAAACGCTTTAACAGGAAGCACCTGGAAATACTGAAGCACCAAACTTTTTTTTTTCATAGTAATTTTTCATTTTCATTTTTCTTTCATCGGGCAGAGACATTGAGGGAGTCCGCGAAGGCCTTCTGATGTTAAAATTAGCATTAATACTTTATTATATCACTTATGCGAACATTTTTTAATAATAATAATCTGATTGGATTAATAGCCGTGTATAATATTATTATAGTGTACTATTATTAACAAGAAAAAACATTCTAGATTGTTTTAATCCTATACAGATATAGCTTATTTTTACAGACAGCATTATTATTATTATTATTATTATTATTATTATTGGTAATAATAATAATAATAATAATAAATTAATAAAAAATCACGTGATCACTAATCTCTGATTGATTTAGTTTTTTATTGTCGTTTTGTTTATTGTGATTGTTATATAACCGGATATTGGGAAACTACATCATCAATATGCTGAAAGTGTTGCCGTCATGAACTTATTACGTGGTTTGAATAAATTAAAAGGAAAAAAAAAAAAAAACGGGCCCCTCAACGACGCCCTTGACAGCTGGTTTAGCCAATCTGTCTAGGAAGAGATTTATTTCCTATCAGCTGGTACAGCGGAGGGTATAATCCACTAAATAACCAAAGGTTAGGCTCCAATGTGTGATTTGTTTTTGCTTGATGAATATATTAAAGAAGGAAATTACGCATTTTGGGGATAAATGACGAAAAAGAGGAAATTCGATGCTTTCCGTTAGACGTTTTTGAGGCCTGTACTGACGCTGGTTTCTCGTGGTTCCGTGTGTCCGCAGTGTGACATGGAGGAGTCCAGCTCTCAGAAGTTGGTGTGGGATGGGGACGCCAAAGCGGTGCAGCAGTGTCTCACGGACATTTTTACGAGCGTCTACACAACGTGCGACATCCCGGAAAACGCCATTTTCGGGCCTTGCGTGCTGAGCCACACGTCTCTGTATGACAGCATCGCCTTCATAGCTCTGAAATCCACCGACAAACGCACAGCACCTTATATATTCAGGGTAAGTGGAGCTTTATTTTGATCACAAATTTGAAATTATTTTATTTTAATGCATCCCTTACACAGGTTTTAATTAGCTCAACTTTTGGTAATTATGACTGAAGACAGATTTTACTGATTGGCATCTAAACCGGCCTAAAATGACAATGTTTTTAATTTCTGTGCATTTATTTCTGTCCAATAATTAAATATATCCCTAGAGATGAAAAGGCTAAAAAAAGGAATAAAAAACATATATGGTCACTAAAATCTTAATGTCATACTAGTAGATTTTGCTTGTTTTTAATAGCTATTGTAATTTGCTTAATTTCAAGTGGAAAATTAGGTTTATTGAATCATTGTGAACATTTTTTGTCTTCCCTGAATTATTTTTTTAAACTTAGATTCAAACCATAAAAATACACGTTGTGCCCTCCTTGTTTCTGCAGCAGTTTGGGGGTAATTCTCTTCCTATTTGCATCTAAAAAACAGCCTGAGAGGTTTATGGGGGGGGGGAATAATTTGAAATTAATTATTTAAGTATTAATCCAAAATGCTCTTGCTTGATGGCACAGGTGGACACTTCAGCGGCCAACAGCACCTCGGAGGGCCTGATGTGGCTGCGGCTGGTCCAGTCAGCCCGGGACAAAGAGGAGCAGAACCTGGAGGCCTACGTGAAGAACGGCCAGCTCTTCTACCGCTCACTCCGACGCATCGAGAAGGACGAGGAGCTGCTGGTCTGGTACGGCAAAGACCTCATCGACCTGCTGCTGCTCAGTTCCAGCAGAGTGCCTCCCAAAAGCAAAGGTGAGCCAGTCAAGTGTTTCAGCTTGTGTTTAAACCATGACATTTATTGTTTTCTTCTTTTAGTTTTTACTTTGATTTCATCCGATGCAGGCTTCACTATCACGCACTAAAGAATACATAAAGTTATATTTACTGCAGTGCAGTACAAAGGTCATATTCTTGAAGTAAATTTTCAATAATTTCCATTTGTCCTCCGGTTAGGTTCATCCCACCACTCCTGTCCGGACTGCAGCCAGCGGTTCCAGTTTGAGTTCCCTTTCTTGGCCCATCTCCGGTTCCGTTGCACCAAGAGACTGCAGAGCATTGCTGCAGCCGACGAGGAGCACAGCAAAGACAGCGGCACAGAGCGACCAAACGCAACCCCAACCAGGACCAGCCCGAAGGTAGTCCGCTCCGAAGGTTTCAGCAGTCCTCAGGACAACAATAAACCCTCCACAGACTTTCACAACCTAGCCAGGGATCTAGAGAACAACCGGACCAGCCCGCCGAGTGACAAGGAGGCCGAGATCTGCAGCGAGAGCTCGGGCAAGAGGAAGTTCTCCGAAATAGAGGACAGGGAGTGCAGAGGACCCAGCCTTCCGCAGTCCAAGTCTAAAGACGAGCTTGCAACGTCTGTGCAGAATTACAGAGGAGCATATGGCCTAGATGACAACCACCGGTCCTTCTCCCCACCAGGCTCCATAGAGCTGGGGGAGGTGAAGCGCAGCGCCTTTACTGAGGTTAAGTCAGCCCAGCACTCCAAACAGCACAGCAGCAGCAAAAGTCTCCAAAGCTCCAACTCTGAAAACAAAGATGGAGGTCGGCCCAGCAGCAACCCCTCGGAGAAGCACCTTAGCATCAGGTCTGTGCTGTCAGAGACGCAGCCGCCCCAAAGCTCGCCCATGGGCAGCGCTTTCACCTCCGTCAGCCAGCAAGGAGGTGGCAGTGGGGAGAGGAAGAGTGCCTTCAGTCAGCCATCTCGCTCCTTTTCGCAGATCTCACCACTGGTGATGCCACCCAAGCTGCTGGACTGCCACCCAGCGGTGGGCGACACCATCTCCTCCAACAGACTCTACCAGGCTGACCACCTTGCTGCCAAGCTGCAGGGTGCAGAACTGGGCGCCAACTGCCCCGTGCCGGGCGGCATGGCCAAGCAGAACCCCTTTGTCTACGCCACCGCCTTCTGGCCCAAGAACTCCGGACCTATCCAGCTTCAGATGCCCTCAGCTCTCACCCTGCTGCCTCCCTCATTCACCTCGCTCTGTCTGCCCGCTCAGAACTGGTGCGCCAAGTGCAACGCCTCCTTCCGCATGACCTCAGACCTGGTTTACCACATGCGATCCCACCACAAAAAGGAGTACTCCATGGAGCCTCTGGTCAAGCGGCGGCGCGAGGAGAAGCTCAAGTGCCCCATATGCAACGAGTCCTTCCGGGAACGGCATCACTTGTCACGTCACATGACCTCCCATAACTGACTTTTTGAAACGAACAAGGACGAGACTTTTGTTTAACATGGACGGATTGTCAACCTGCCTGGATTTAAGCACTCCAACTGGAAATAGACCACTTAAAAACACAAGAACACCCCTTGCACTTACTTTCACTTTGGACTATAATCTTTGAATTCCTTTTCTGTCTGTTTGCTTTTACTCCCCTGTAAAAACAATTAATGTTTTGGGTGTATGCAAATGCGTTTTGACTTCAAAAATGAATCTATTTATGAAAAGTTCACTTAAAAGTTTGAGAATAAGGGAAGATTTAAATATGTGTAATTGTACAGTAAGTTGTATTTTATATCATATAAATACAAATATAGAGAAAAATTACAAATGTAGTCATACATCATGGTTTACAACGCAGCAAGGTTTTTCATGTCTACAACGAATATGGACACAAATTGGGGATATTATGTCAGACTATATTTCAGAGTGCATGTAATATTAAATGATATTGATTTAAGATGCAGTCTATACATTACAATGTAAATAATTTGTTTTATTTGAAATACAAAGTGTAATATTTTGTGTCAGTGGGGAATAGTTTCAGTGTTTCTTCCTTTTGCGGGAATTTACTACTTGATAGTTTATCTAATCATGTTGAATGCATTGACAATAAAATAGCTTTATTTTCAAACTGTGGCCTTCATGGATTTTTTTTTAACTGCAACTCAAATATATATTAAAACAAATCTTTATATATTTTGTGTTTTGTATTCATACATTAAAACATTAATTTTAGGGATGCAAAAAGTGGACAAAACCCAAAGGTCACATTTTTTTTTACCTTATTTACATTTTTTATAAGAAATTGATTTTATATATTGCCAAAGCTCAGTGTTAATAAAATAAATATAAACACATTATGTAATTTTTTCCCAACACACTCCAAAATAAAGACACTATTACAGTTAATCAATCTGATGATGAAATATTTATTGTACATTATATGGATATATGCTTATCTACTATGTTTCCTCCTTGGAAATGAGCATTATTATTATTATTATTATTATTATTATTATTATTATTATTATTATTATTACAGCCATTGTCTTTATTTAAGTAGGACACATTATCCACTTAATAAAACTTTTAAATACTAATAAAAAAAAAAAACGTTTATCATACCTGCACATTGGGTGTTTCCCGTTGATAATATGGTCTTGTATTTATCGAAATAAAGTTTATGTAAAAGAAAAAAATATATATATAAAATGTTCCGACTGTTTTTATTTTTTTTTAGTTTTTATTTTATTTTTTTATTTTTTTATTTAAAGCAAAAAGTACATGGGCATGATTTTCAGGCTTCTCGGTAAGCGACCTATTGTTTTACTTTACTGAATAAAATCCGCGCCGTACGCCTACATTTACGATTCGTTTCCATTAAATCATTGGACTTATTTTCTTTCTTTGAAGAGCCGTGAACTGCCAGTTACAGAGACGCCACGAGTTTCCCATAAATCAATAGGTGAAAATAATTTAAATTTATAATTTTTTAAACACGCCGCAAACTGAAGACAGCAGTGAAGTGCTGCTGTAAAACACCCAAATAACAACCGTCTACCAGCCTGACGGTGACCTTTAATCTGCAGGATATTTGTGTTAAAGAAAATCAAACAAGCAAACAAAAAACAGAGTGATAGAAAGTAAAACGTGATAATATTTTTGGATCTGTACTCTGTATTTCCACCACGTTATGAAAAAGCAAATATAAAAAAAACAAACAAACCACCGGGTAGGAAACGTTTCAGGACACGAGCTGAACAGAAACTGGTTCAAGCGCGCCATCAAGTGGTCTGTAAGCAAACTGCACAAGCAGAGATCCCACTGGGCAGCCATAACGAGTTAGGATATATATGTGGAAAACTAAAACCCTTAAATTATATGTAATTTAAGATCTTTGTTTTTAACGAGGCACCAGAATCATTATATGACTCATACCTGTAACCATGACAACATCCCTATATGACCATGGCTGATATTTAAATATATTTCTATTGTTTCTGAAAACTAAAATATCAACTGTGTCTCAAATCCACTGTGACACTGGATCTTGGAGGAATGAATATTTGAACACTAAAAGTACACAAGCATCAAAGAGTGTGGTAAAATATCACAGCCGTAGTTCAAGTGTCAAAGGTTAAAAAGAAAACCACATCAGCAGCACGCTGAAGCTCGGCGTCATTTCCCAGAAACCACTTGTATGAGGACACAGGGCTGCATGAGCCTGAATTGCTGAGTTTTCTGTATTTGTTCAGAACTCTATGGTGCCTGCAAAGCACAGTTCTCAGCTCTGCATAATTACTATTTAAGTGAAAACTTTGAAATGAGCATTTAAAGTAGGAAAACATAATTCTGGAGAAAATGGATCCCACTTCTTAGACAGACATCTGAAAATCTGTGTGAGGATAAGGTGTTAAAAACGTCTGCTTCTGGGTGAAAAACAGAAAGACGGATAAAAACTGCAACGCAGGATAAGAGAGGAAGGATGCCTGTTTAAATAAGCAGACAAATTATATTTATTAGGTCATCTTCTTGTGTAATGTAAAGCTTTAGGCTGAACTGCATCACTCAGGAGAGCAAAGAAAAACAAAACTAGAACTGGAGCTGCAGTGAGAGAGACGAGAGCAAAAGCACACAAAGAGGTAGAGGCTGAGAGGAGTGGATACAGCAGGAATCTGCGAGGCTCACACGATGATAAATTACAAACCGGTGCACATGTCCGCATGTTGCATCTCATCTCAGAGCGACACACACCTCCCACTACAGCAATCCAAACAGGTCAATCTCACCGTAAAGGCATGCGATCGACGGGAAGCGAGGCCATCGTTAACTATCACCGCTCGCCCTCTCCTCACAGCCCGGACGCTCCTGTGATATTTTGCACCCTCGTGCTTCGCTGCTGGTGTCATCGTCCCTCTTGGGCCCCGGCTTCCCCCCCGTGTCACATTTGTCACTGCATCACTCATCGCGGAGCAGCGCGGGACAGTTTATATCTCTGCTAAGCTGGCACTTCCATTTGGCCTCCTGCCCCGGTCACACTACATTTTTTCATTTCAGGCATTTAGCTGACGCTGACATCTAGCAGGGAAATGAACAAACAGGTACAGCGACCTCAGACAAGTTCAGTTATTTGATAGGAAACATGGCTTCTGGACGCTTCTTTGGTTTTAGTTTGTTAGTCCAGCTTTAAAACTTACGATGCACAAGATGGGAAGATTTCTGCAGATGTAAACTTAGAAGAAGAGAGCCAAGATTATTTTTGTTTAACGCTTCATGATAAACTCAGAGGACAAAAACTTTTTACCTGTGCCCAGTCTGCCTTCTATTTTCCCTTTGGTCTTGTGTTCCTCTTTCTGTTGTTCTTCTGGATCTCTTTCTTTATAATAAGATGCTGAATGTAGTTATGAATGAAGATATGCTGACACAAAAGCACTGCTTTATCAGGACAAGAAGACCTTGACAGTAACACTCTTCAGTTTGACTTGTAGTAGTGGGGTTATTGATATTTAGTGGGGCTTGACTCTTGTATCACTTGATGGGAGGAAATCAGGACAGAGGGGAGCGCTGTAGGTGGACTGCTGTCAAATTCACATGTTGGCACTGATTTACAGAGATGGGCAGTAACGCGTAATCTGATTACTTTTTAAGTAACGAGTAAAGTAAGGGATTACTATCGCAAAAATGGTAATTAGATTACCGTTACTTTCCCGTAGGAAAAAAAAAATCACGTTACTAAAACCGTGATTTTTTTGCGAGAATGTCTCATGACAGTGACGTAAGCGAGTGCGACGTTCGTGACAACAGCTGTGTGCAGATCAACAA